ATAAAATTTCAAAAGAAAATTTCTGTTATATAATACACGAACGCGTCCAAATCGCAAACCGAGAAAAAAGTAATTTTTTGTGCGAAAATAAATTAAAAATGCAAAATAAAATTTTTGTATATGGAGCATTGTTTACTAAAAGCTTAATTTAAAAAATTTAAAAATTAATAACATATTTACGGTTTTTTAAATTTAATTTAATCTTTAACGATTTTGTATCATATGTTGTCAAATTAATCTGGTCTATGGCAATTAATAAACAAATAAAAAATTATAAAGTTTCATTTAGAGTATAAAAGAAATTTAAATTTAAATTATACACTTATAAAGGTATATGTAAAATATCAAGAATATTTTTCGTTTCAATGAGGAGAATGTTGTACCTTTTTATGTATATTTTGATAATTGTAAAGATAAATTCAATATATAAATAAATTATAATATATATAAAAGGGAATGTATAATATATGTATAATTGAATTTACAATATAACTTGATTACATTATATATAACACGTATAACAAGATTGTTAGAAAAATTATTCAAAAAGTGTCAAATATATCAATTGTAAAATTTTTTAAATTATTTTTTCCCCCCCCCCCCTCAAAAACAGTCTCGTATAAAAAAAAACTTTTATTCGATATTTTTAACTTATTGTTTTATGAAAAATTATCTCCTTGCCGATTGTACTTCAATGAAGAAAAATATGATACCGTAAACTTTCCACAGTTTGCAGCAATATTTCCATCATCATCAAAAATATTTATGAATGGTAGATTGTGCCTTTTCCCTACTTCATAATCATTTGGATCATGAGCTGGTGTAATCTTTACAGCGCCTAAAAGAAGAATAATTTGATTAGATACAGCTTACTTTCACAATCGTTCCACTTGTGACATTTTCATCGAACTTATTAAGCTACATGTTTACCAGTGCCAAAGTTTATGTCAACAAATTCATCTGCTATAATGGGTATGCGTCTATCACAAAATGGATGTAGCACATATTTTCCTATATATCGTACATATCTACTATCGTTTGGATGCACGGCAATAGCGGTATCTCCTAGCATAGTTTCAATACGAGTAGTTGCTACAATTATTTTGTCTTTTGAATCAAAGAGCTGATAAACGAAAAATATTAAAACACCAAATTCTATTTTCTTTTCATAGCCAGGTATCGATAACAGAGTTCGACCAGTTAATTCCATCTTATCAACCTATTTTTAATAAGAAATATTTTTAATAAGTTCCTATATTGATTTTTAAATATAAATAAAAAAGCAGAAAATGTATTATATAGATAGTATTGTATAGATAAATGTATTAAAAGAATATCTAAATGTAGCACTCACTTCAATATCTGATATTGCACTTTTTAAAGCACATGACCAATTAACTAAACGATTGCTGCGATAAATAATGCCTTCATCATGCAAGCGCACAAACGCTTCTGTTACAGCTTTACATAATTTAGGATCCATTGTAAAACATGCACGGCTCCAATCAAAAGAACCACCTATCTTCCTTAATTGTGAATAAATTCTGTCGCCCTTTCTGAAAAATATTTCAAATGGATATCATGAGATTAGATGCTATTATATTAAAACATGTACACTTTTTTTTATAATTCTACAAAAAGATTATATAATATTTTGTTTAATTTTATGCTTACTCATGTTTCCATTGCCATATTTTCTTGATAAATTCTTCTCTACCAATATCATGACGAGTTTTCTTTTCTTCTTTCCAAAGTTTTTTCTCTACAACTACTTGAGTAGCAATACCCGCATGATCACAACCTGGATTCCAAAGTGTCATACGGCCTTTCATACGATTCCTAAATAAATGCAGCAATTTTAATATTCTATTTATATTAAAAAAATCTCAAAAATTATATTTCAAAAGAACTTATATAATATCTACCATCTAGTAATAGAGTCTTCCACAGCATTAGTTAGAGCATGTCCAAGATGTAAAAAGCCAGTTACATTAGGTGGTGGTATTATCATTACAAATTTTTCTTTCATATTTTCTTTGAATATATCTTTTCTCTAAAGTAGATAGATATTTTAATAAATAAATATGTTTTAATATATCTTATATGTATTTATATAAATCTAAATAATTTTTTTTTGATATTCCCTATATTTACATACTCCATATTCTGGTTTAAAAAAGCCTTCTTTCTCCCACCAAGCATACCATGCAGCTTCTACATATTGCGGACTATACATATCTGGCATTGGACACAAAACATCTTTCTTCTCCCCAGGTGGTATATTAATAGTATAGATTGATGCAGTCTCTTTTTTCTTATCATTTTTCTAAAATATATTAAATTAATAAGTTAGTTACTAAGCATATACAAATATACAATTATATTTTCCATTTGTATTATAAACCTAATCAACCTTAGGCTTGTTCGTTTTGTATATACTTTCTAAACTCAAATTATTCGCTTTCTCTTTCTTCAACACCAAAATATATATTTATCTCATTTCAAGTGCAGAAAATTCTAGGGAATGCGAGCAAACCGAACAGACCTTTTGAAATGCTTCTTTTGGATCTCTTAGTGATACTTATTGTTATTAAACATTGTATTATATATATAATATGTGTATTATATATATAATATTCATAAATTGTGATATAACTAAATAATTCAAGACATGAAAAACATAGCTAATTATAGTAATTAAATCAGATTTACGAAAGCTGTCTAATGAATGGTTAAGAGCCATATGGATAATTGAAATACCAAATTATATACATATTTTCTATATTATTAGAGTTAGAGAATTCAACATATATTAGAGCATATACTTACATCTTGCTTTTCTTTCACCTTTGTCGGTTTTTCACTTTCCTTTTTCTCCAGCTTTTGTTTAAATTTTTCCAACTTTGCCAATTTCTTGGCTTCCTTTTGCAATTGCTTTGCTGTTTTTTGAGAACCATTTTCCGCAACCACGTCCGCAGTCTCATCGTTTTTCATATTAACCATTTTCTTTTTTTCAACAAAAAAAGCTCAACATCTGTCTATTTCCTGTCTTATATTCAAATCAGGCCAGAGAGTTTCTTTGGACAAATTGGCTGATGAAACATTCAAAGATTGCAAAACTAACCACAAAAGTGTGAGTGCCGGTCTACAATAGTGATTTAAGCTCTAAGCCTTAAGAAATTGACTAATCACAGTCGAGTATTCTCCTCATACTTGATCGTGATTGGTCAATTTCTTAAGGCTTAGAGCTTAAATCACTATTGTAGACCGACACTTAGGGCTGCGTTCGGAAACATCACCTGCGTGCACACGCGCGTCGTTTTGTCTTTGTTCAACTTTTAATAAAGAACAAAGATAGAACGACACTCGTGTGCATATGGGTGTTTCCGATCGCGGCCTCAAATTGAAGATTGAAGATTAAAATTTGACTAATCAGAACAAAAGGGACTAAAATTTCTTTATCCTGATTGGTCAAATTTCAATCTTGAATCTTGAATCTCAATCTTCAATGCGTAGTCTGATACGGGCTTAAGGGAATAAACCAATCAAAATACGCAGAACGAGAAATAGGGATGTGAACTAAGAAATCTGATTAGTTTATTCCCTTATGTACTCCCGATCTTTAAGGCCCTGCGCACAATAGAGAGAATATTAGGAATAGGAATAAAATATTAAATATCAGGAAGAGCAATTTGGAATTATTTTACTTCAAACAAGGAAACGGAATGGATTAATTATTTCTAATTTTTATTTTTTTATTTCATTATGCGTTAATCCATCCCGTTCCCTTGTTTGAAGTAAAATAATTCCAAATTGCTCCTCCTGATATTTAATATTTTATTCCTATTCCTAATATTTTTTCTATTGTGAGCATGGCCTTATGGAAATAATTTTATAACAATTTACGTATTTTAACAAAAAATTAAAATTTTCAACAAGAAATCACAATTTTTTGGAAATAGAAATTCGTGGTAAGTTGTAATAAAAGTTGTAGTGAATTGTAAAAAATATATTTACAAATTTTTACAAGTTTCTACAAATATTTGTAGATTACTGTTTGTAGAATATTTTACGAATATTTTTACGAGGAATGTAATAAATTGTAGAAGTTATAGATTATAACTAAATTAAATAATGTAGTTGTAGAAAATCACACAACTTTCTACATTAATTTATGAAGAACTACATGGCTCAAGTAATGTAAAATATAATTCCAAATTGTTCCTCCTGATATTTAATATTTTATTCCTATTCCTAATATTTTTTCTATTGTGAGCATGGCCTTATGGAAATAATTTTATAACAATTTACGTATTTTAACAAAAAATTAAAATTTTCAACAAGAAATCACAATTTTTTGGAAATAGAAATTCGTGGTAAGTTGTAATAAAAGTTGTAGTGAATTGTAAAAAATATATTTACAAATTTTTACAAGTTTCTACAAATATTTGTAGATTACTGTTTGTAGAATATTTTACGAATATTTTTACGAGGAATGTAATAAATTGTAGAAGTTATAGATTATAACTAAATTAAATAATGTAGTTGTAGAAAATCACACAACTTTCTACATTAATTTATGAAGAACTACATGGCTCAAGTAATGTAAAATATAGTTACATAGAAATTATGTAATAATGTAATTATTATACCATATCAAGTTTTTGTTCATAGTTTTTGCATAATTTTTAAGATAGGAGAAATTAAAGTATATACATATAAAATAGAAAATTTTATAAATTCTACAACTTAATATAGATATATAATTTATTTATTGGGTTACTTAATAGTAAGGAACTTATTTATTGATCTATTTAATAGTAAAAAGAACATAAAAAGAGATTATAATTATGCTTTCCGGTTTTTTTTTTTTTTTTTTTTTAANTTTTTTTTGTTTAAAGTTATATTCACAAATTAAGAATTAATTCATAAATAAAGTATGACAAGAATGAAATAACTAAAAAATATAGTATTAATAAATAGAGTATTAATGCAGATAATTGATGGTAGAGATATTTTAATGCATAACAAAAACAGTACTAATGACATATTTACAATTATGATATATATGCATATATATGTGAAATTAATTGCACTAATATTTACTCAAACTTTGTCCAATTATTTGGTGATTTAATAGCAGATGCGTTTAGTGTTAAACTGAATGTGTCCGTCGTATCAACATTATTAATATTGTTGTCTGGTACACTTCGATTACACACAGCTGTATTCTTTATAGATGGATTATCACTATTGGTTAAGTTAAATTTACTAAAATCTATACCATATGCTTGTAATAAATCCATATCACCTACATTATCGGAGGCCTTTGGCTTGTCATTGTTTTTATGCGATGATTGTTGAAAAAAATAAGGATATAAAGGGTTACTAAGACCTTCATTCATTTCGGGTAAATGTAACGATTGACTCATCTGTTTTGTGCTTGAAAGCTCGGAAACCTTAGATAGAAGTGGATCAAAATCGTCATTACTATTCGTTGAATCTAAGCGTATTAAATCAGGGACATCAGGAGAATCCTGTAAAAAAATACATACTGATAATTAAATTTTAATCAATTAATTGAAGCAATATGTGAGAATAACTTAAATTCTAACTTCCAGTATAAAAATGTTGTTGTTTCTCATTTAATGATAATGTTTTATATGAATATGTGTAAATTCCACTTATACATAGTGTTTCAGGATTAAAAGTTCCAACTTAAAATATGAATTTAGAATTCCAAAATAAGTAATAAAGTTCCTCTAGAGGTATGCCCGCGCAAACGTTTGTTCAAGAAATATTGATATTTAAACATTATATATGAACCTCCCATAATATATATAAAGATTAAGATAATTCGTGCTTTGTGCAAGTTTTTGTACAGATTTACCTTATTTTGAGGTCCTAAAAATTAATATTTTAAGTTAAGATGTTTAATATTGAAACACATTTGGTATATGCATCTAATTATCGGACATTATTATTTGACAATTTCATTCCATACACTCATACATAAAATACAACAATATTTACTACATCCAAAAGTTGAGAACATGGACAACATAACAGTGGAAATAAATAAGAAGCAAAGTTTACAAAGATAGATTTACCGAATTTATTTTTGCAGCTTCTTAAAATGCTTGATAATTAATTTTAAATTTTCTTGCTAAAGAAAAAATTTTGTTATTTAGTTATATCCTCGTAAATTAAATTCGCCAAAGTCTTTGGATTTACTATAATAAATCCAAACCTATAATTATTGATGTCTCAATATTGAAATAACAAATATTCTTTTTAATCTTTTCTAATATTTGCTCATTCTAGTGACTGGAAGATATATCGGTAAATCTAGAACATTCTAAGTATATTATACTTGCACATACTTTACGGATCAATTATATGAAAATCGATCGAAATATTTCGTAGATATAAAAAATAATGGACAATGTTATGTTTACCTTAACATGTGCAGAGCAGGATGTAGTATTGAATGGATGTGATAATGGATGAAATGGAGCGGGCATTGAGGGAATTCTGGATTTAAAAAGTGGTGCAGTTTGCAAATAGATAGGCATTAATACTTTACTCGTATCAAAAGGATCGTCTTCATTTACTTCATGAAGAAAGTTTGACGTTTTGTAAGATCTATCAAAAGATTCCCTCGTATTTGGTATTGAATTAGCATTTGCAAAAATATCTTCACAATCTAACTTTTTATTGTTTGAAGAAAAATTGTCTTCTGTCTTGGGATTCTTTTTTTCATGAACACATAATGATAAGTCAACAACAGGTTTTATTAAATCATTATGTATATTTAATTCATGTAAAAATCGATTTGGTTCTGTGTTTTGATTATATGATGCAGATGACATAGATAAAAGTGATGTTTTATCCACTTCTTTTACAGTTCTGTTTGTCTTTGAAGTTAGTAAATTAGAAGTAAACATTTTTGATTGATTAAACGAAGTATCTAATGGAAGAGGATAAGGGGAAGAAGTTAAAATTGGCTTTTTCGAGGAAACTTCGAATGGATTTGTAATGATAGTATTAGGTGAAGGACTGTGCCGTAAATGCCCACTCCATGCAGGTCTCAAGTTGTCTAAACTGCGTACTGGTTTCAACTGAAAGTGATGCATGATATGAATTTTTACTTTTCTTTTTTATAAGAAATTAACTAATACGAACTATGAAATATCTAACAATAAATTCTATCGATACATTAGAGTAGCAATATACACATACCGATCTTTAATATATGACATATGCATGTAATAATCATAAGTCTTTCTTATTCATTATATTATTATTTATTATTAAAAAGTAATTTTGAAAACTCTAAGAAAAGTCTTTGAAAAATTTTCCTTCCCTCATGTTCGCCCTTCAAAATCATTTAAATTATGTTTAAAATATTTTTCCATATTTTCAGAAGTAAAGAAATAATTAGATATTCTGTTTCTGATCAGACACACTCTGTAGATGAAAAAATATAGAAATATTATTAAAATTATATATATTATATATATATTATTTTCTATATATTTATTTTACATATTAGTAATAACATCTAACTTTTCTTCAAGTACTTTACCAATTTAGATGAATATTTAAAAAAACAATCAATATATTTTTAAAAAAAGCTATAAAATGATTTAAAAATTTTAAGAATGCTAAAAAGTACTGTCGATGGAAAATTTAGGTGTATGAAGATGATTTAAATACAAGCACATGCAAAATATTTTTTTATAAACTAGACACGTTTCTATGCATACATTTAATAATGCATTACATGTAATTCAGGAAAACATGCTCTGCACATAATTATTTCATCTTTTATATAATATAGAATTTGAAACACAGATTCCATTACATAAAGACTTTAAGGACAATAAACGATTGACAAAAAGCAACAGAAATTTATAAGATTAATACATGATAAACTTGCAGAAAATTATATATATATGTACAATTATTAAAAATAAAGATATAATAGTTCCATCTCATCATTTATGAGAATATATATTTATTTTAATTGACAACTAATAATAATATACTCTCTTTCTGTAAATCATAAAAAATAATAGTGTATAAGTACTATAAATAATGTATAAATACTGTATAAATATACTAATAAACTATAAATAATAAAATAAACTATATAATATAAGACTTACCGTCCTATCCACTGATGGTATCTTTGGAAATATCACATCTTGAAGTTCGTGCATAAGGTCTATGTTTATGCGCTCTGGTGGAGAGTCTGATTCTTCGGGAGAACTGGGGTTTAAAGATGAGTACTGCTTCTTACTGCAATACATATGCATATGTATGTGTACTGTGCGCGTGCTATACATATGTACGATGTTCCGCGAGAAAACTGACAAATTTCAACAGTGTAATCTATTATCAGTAAAAAAGATCATTATCTATCTATTTGACTCATTCATTATCGAGTTAAAAGTACATTATTGTACATATCAAAATAAAATTCACATATATATATATATATATATATATATATATATATATAAATAATTATATGTACCTTGCATCAAAATTAGTATTCCGCAAACGCAATTCTTTTCTGTAACTAGTTGTTGCTGATACTCCGTTTGGAGATTTTGGTGGAGATGTAAATCCAATAGATCTTCTATCTAAAGTAGGTGAGCTAGGAGCTGATCGTGGTTGATGAAATCTCATATTTGTTTCACTTCTATTAGGTCGCCCTGTCCACATAAATAATTTATCAGTCAATATCCAATATTTAACATGAAGTGATAATAAAAACTATTAATATCATAAAGAAGCACACCTTTCCATTTTAGTCCTTTATACGCCGTTTTCATATCTTTCCCTTTATCTTTCACCTGTTGATATTAATTTTTATAATTCTCTTTTTTTCTATTTTGGTATTAACTATTATATTATAATAGATAGAAAATGTGATACAGAAAGTAAGATTGGGAAAGTTACTTTATAAAAATAATTCATTACCGTTCCTTTCTTTGAAAAGTAACTCGTTATCGTTATCATTATTAAAATAGTAATGTCGTTGCAATTTCCGGTAAATGTTTAGAGTAGAACAGACAAGTAAAATTGTTTTGACCTTGATATATGTTGTCAAGGCCGCTTTATTAAAAAGTTATAGACAAAGAAATTTTACAAATTGCATGTCATTTCAGACACCATATACTCTTAATAGAATATGCTTTTAGTAGATTCATGTATTTATATGTTACCGTTACCGTTAAAGTTATCGAAAAAAATAACGGTAACGGCGTTGCAAATAATGCGTTACTTTTCAAGCCTGATGAAAAGTTATAATGTTCAAACATGCTAAGGAGAGAGTACATGTAAATATATATATATATATATATATACATATACGCGTGATTTAACAGCATACTTTACTGCTGGATTGGCCTGTAAGATAAAAGAAGAAAGTATTCTTTGTAAGTATTCTTTTTTTTATAATAAAAGGATATGTAAAAAATATATTAGATATGAAAGATTAGTTCTAGGGATATAAGCTATATAATACTAATTAATTGAAATTTAAACTATTTAAACTATTTAAAATGCTATTCTTTACATGCCTTGTCTTTCACACTACGGAAAAATGCTGAGCTTTCCTTTCGCATAGTATAAGTCCATTCTCTGTACTGTTGCATAAATTTACTACTCGATTTGGCCGAATAACTGCAGGCTTCCATTTCAAACTCATCTGAGAAACCAAGTCCTGAATTAAGCATGTTCAATCTTTCTTCTATAAACTGGAAATACCCAGAATATTTATATAGTATCAAATAGCTATAATTATGCAGTATATAAAAGACTTACTTGTTGAAAGATTTGTAATTCCAACATTTTTCGTAAAAAGGGTTGCATGGAGGATGGTCTACTTTCAACAAAGGCATTTTGATTGAATGTAATACGTTCACCCTGTTGTAAAGTTAATGCTTCTCTATAACCAGCAGTTAACTGTACTAAAGCGCGTAAAAATGCTCTTGACACGCCATCTCCGAGAAGAGTTGATCTATTACGTAATGCTTTCTTCAAATTTGTCACCTGCAATACATATATACATTTTTTATTTCATTATTTAAGATGTATACATTATCTTATTATGCTATAGTGACATATATATATACAATGTATATTGTCATAGCAATATATATTCTACGCACTACATCTTGTGGTAAAGACTCCAGATCTTGAAACGGTGACTCAATTGTATTATTATCAGCATCTAAAATAACAACTTCTCCTAAATCACTTTTGGGTACTTTCTGCAAAAAATATTATAAAATAATTGTATTACATATAGACATGCACACCCACACACATATATAGACAATAACAACATATTTTATAGAAAAAAAATTTTTGTTATAAATACCTGAAGTGTTGGTGTGGGCACCCCAATAAGAAATGGCATAGGCGCTAATAAATAATCTATTAATGACAAAGGCAGAACGGGGATATATATATGTTGCCAAATCATTGGATAAATTAAAGCATTGCATGCTTGTACACAAGCACTTAATCTTGATAAACGTTTTGAAATGAAAATAATACGGCGTTCGTATAACATAGATGCAAATATTATCATCATATTATACGAATCAACAGCACTATAATATTCGGTCAAATTTCTCTGAAATAGTAAAATCGCTATTTAGGGAAATACTCGATAATAATTTTATACCGTAAATAAAATTTATAAATTATTTTGACAAATCCAAATATTATTACTTACGTTTTCTGGAATGCTAGGCAGTTGAAACTGTTTTGGACTTTGACAAATAAAACTCTGAAAAGATTGAAATGTTTTAAATATATCGAAAAGTGTATATAAAAAATAATTTAATAAAAAAATATTAAAAAGCGATTTATATATGCAAGAAAAACACGCATGCACGCATGCAAATATATATAAAATTCTCGCGTGCGCACTCAGATTTTATAATTTTATTTCTTATATTATTCTTATATATATTATATATATTCTGAGACAATTAATTTACTGCTGTAGAATTTGGTAAAGAGATAGATATTGAATTTCCTGGGATTGGGACTCCACAGGTATATATATTTTCAAGAAACTTCCATAAATCCTCCCCACTGGCATTGCTGGTCAAAGATGCAATATGATTCAATAACCTATGATGTAAATACAGTTTAATATTTTGATTCTTAATACATTTGAGCATTTAATTAATATATTTTTACTAACTTGTAAAATGTTTCATGCCATGGAAGTGCACTCAAAATCACTAAAGCTGTTTCTGTTTTGGGATCGTGACGGCAAAAGCCGAAAGTCCATTTTGAATCTATACTAGTGAGAACAAATGAAAAATGTTGCACCAACAAACTGAAATAATAACATATAATAAAAAAATGTAATTAAATGTATGCTGCATTTGATATCTCAACATACTTTTCAAATTCACAAGGATATGTAAATTTGGGGACAGATTTAAGTATCTCTTCATCTGAAAAGGTAGTAGGATATTTTTGAAGTATCCAAGCTGGCTTCTCTGCTACTGGTGCAGCTATCTCGCAGAAGCATTCGAACAATTGCTTGACATTTTCTCTGAAAAAAATATTATACAAAGTAATATTTATATAATTCAAGTAAAGTACAACTGTAAACTTTGCAGTTATTATGATTATATTCACACTGATACATGTATATAAAAAATAGAAAATATATTCTATTAATCAAAACGGAAACATTCTGTGAAGCTATCCGAGTGTAACATAAGGGCGATATGCTTTCATTGCATTTTGCTTAAAAAAATCGGTGGTTTTATACAAAGGAGAAATGATAAAGAAGACTTGCCTCAATCGAGATCCCATGATAATAGTTGAAAAAAAATAAGTACTTCGTATGATTTTGATGTTTATACGTCATCGTATTGCATGATAGTGATGTATTCGTATATAATCTTAAAAATGTTGTAGTCACATGTCGTCGACACTCATGTCAGTCGCTCTCACTAGCCGTCACACTTGCGAATTTCGTCCTTCCTTGCTTTCCTCAAATTAGGAAGCGGTAATAAATCACTAGCCGAAATGAAATCTGTGAATGTGGATAGCTATGTACCTTTATCACGCGTTTTACTGAAATCTCAGATTGAATCGGAATAAACATACGTCACGAAGAAATGCACTTGGGACCCATTTCTATTGTGTCTGTCAAACTATTGCCAGAGAGAAGCCTGAAAGCTGAGAGAGGTCACGCCGCCATTTTTCATAAGACACTTTTTCTAGCTACTACAGTAGCGTCAACTAGATCCATTTTAGAGCCAGCGGAACTACATGGCCAGATTCACTTTTCGGTGCCATGGTAAAACGGCCGGTTGGTGCATGTCCGTGCTAAATACATAAATTGTGGATTAAAATTATGGAGAAATATTATGGATTCATTAATGTTTTATTAACTGCGCATTTTGCTATTCTAGTACATTCTACATTACGGACAGCAATAATAAATTATTATTGAAGTATTTGCGCAATTATATATTATATTATATTATAATTACGTGCTGTCTGGGTATATACTGTCATACTGCTGGCATGCTATTGGCATTTTGTGGAAATTATAAAAGGAATTATAAAAGAAAATATATAACAGTGTATTATTACGATAGATACAATTTTAGAAATTTTATTAACAATATAATTAATATTAAGAGATATATGCGTATTAACTTAGAAACATAGCATATAACTAATCTCAGATATAATTATTATTCTTTAAATGAATAGTTACGCAGCCAACATCGCAAGCTATTAATCTGTTGCTGTACTGCTTCGAAACTAGTTCCACCAGCAATTTTATATTGATCTACGCTGGAATTGAAGTCCCAAATGCACGATATATTTTCTTCGAACGCCTCGCTAAAATAGTTAATCTTTCTTTTAGAATTCTCTTCGAATGCAACTACTTCATCTCTATTAAAGATTTTGATTATATACCTTATCGTTTTCAATTGTTGCACAGATAGCTCTAACAATGGTATTCCTTTTGATTCAGCCAGAGCGACAGCTTTCCCAGCCAGATGATGACTTTCTCTAAACGATATCTGCGTATTTACGCAAATATTAAGAGATATTTCAATTAACATTTAGTTAAAATTTAAAGAAATTAAGTTAGTAAAGCAATTGCCTTAAAAATTATCAAGTAAAATCAAATTTTTTAAAGATAGAAAGAAAAACAAAATGCTTACGCCTTTTTTAACAAGATAATATGCCATGTCAGTTGCAAGCATGTCGGATGTTAAAGCCTTTTTACAATTCTTGCTGTTTACTTTCAGTGTGGCCAATGCTTTTTCGGCGATATGGAACATCTGATATAACGTATCGTATGTATAAAATAGCGATTCTTTGTCTTCCTGAAGATCTTTGTTGTATGTTGATGGAATTCCTTTCAGTGTTACCATAAAGCCAATGCACTAAAATTAAGACAATTTTACAAGAGAGAATGATACATCTTTCAAAACTTATTTTGAAATTTTTTATCTGTAAGAGATTTTAGAATATAGATAAAAATGATGTATAATATATGCTGTTATATTTTTCTTGTGAAATTTGAAGATTAATGGTACTAATATTTTTGCTATAAACTATGTAAAATAAAAGTTCTTTTTCGAGAATTATGTTTCAAATTATATAGACATAGTTAGAATTAGAATATAATATATATAGACATAATTAGAATTAATAGACATAAATAAATAGTGCAAAACATTAATTATTATTTAATTTGAAAAAATGTGTTTGTAGAACTGTAACATAATAACACGGAATTTAATTTATGCAGTTATTTTATAACTTAAAGAAAAATTTACTATTTTACGCAAATTTTAAATCACCAAACACTGGCTTAAACTTAAGTAAAATATACAAACGTAGCTGCCATAAATGGAGCCAATGGTTTTAAATCTATTTAAACAAACCTTTCCGAATATAGTGCCAGTTTTTCCACGTATTAATTCCATGCAATCCGGATTACGCTTCTGGGGCATCAGACTACTACCAGTGGAATATTTATCAGAAAATTGGATAAAATTAAATTCCTGGGTACTGTAGATGATCAAATCCTCGCAAAAGCGACTTAGATGCATCGATGATAATGACGACCAAAATAGAAATTCAGCTTAAAAGATCAAATTAAAAAATGTTTACACACTATAGGTGCAATATAAAGGAAGTATTTTATTAATTTTATATTCAAAATTTGCATTTTTGGTCACTTCAAATCTATTTTTCTTTCATAAGATTGTCGAGGCATTACTTTTAAGTTATAATTAATTAAAACGAAGAAGTTTTCTGTAAACTAAATTTCAGACAAAAAATTAAATATTAACATTACGTTTTTTAGTTAATTTTAAACATATTTTTTACTTTGCTAGAACTTTAATTTAAAACTGGATTACAAAAAGAGATAAATAATATCGAAAATCAAAAAATTGAACAATAAATGTTGATCTTCTTTCATAAGAGAATTTTATTATATAAGAAAAAAGTAGATTTTTAATATTAATTAACAAACTAAGTGAAAAAATTGGCAAATATATGGATAACTTTGGAATGATTCGAAGAGAATAATATTTGTTTATATTTTTGTGACGTATTTGCATTTGAGAGTCATATAACTAAACATTTTTTTATTCAATAGAATCAGAAATATTTATTGTTTCTATAGTTAGCCGACTTGCTCTATGTATATATGCATATATATGTACACATGTTACAGAGATATATTTATAAAACATACCGACAAAATCTCGATCTCCAACAGTATGCATGCTATTTTCGGTAATTTCGTCGAAACCAAGTTCCATAGCCAAAAATTGACGATCAATGGCGAAAGGATTACCTGCTATCGCACCACTACCAAGGGGTAAGATGTTTACATGTTTACGTATCTCTAGTAATCTTTCCAAATCTTGCTTCGCGTACCAGGCATAGCTATATGAAATTTGAAAAATCAATGATAAAATTAGGGGTAAATATTTAGAATAGGACCCAAATCGAATCATATCTTGGCCTTGACATATATGTTGTCAAGGTCACCATCCTGAGTAACCACTAAAAAATTTTAGCCATTGCTCGTTGTTTATTGAAAAATAATAAACAAAAAAGTTTCACAGATTACACGTTTTTCAGACACTATATACATTTAATATAATTTACTCTTATTAGCAGATTTATATATTTACATATAGTAAATCAAATGCGTGGGCGAGGGAGAGCTCCAACCTTACCACTGCATACACCAAAATAATAAATTTCACAGATTACACGTTTTTTAGACACTATATACATTTAATATAATTTACTCTTATTAGCAGATTTATTTATTTACATATTTACATATAAATGCGTGGGCGAGGGAGAGCTCCAACCTTACCACTGCATACACCCCCCCC